CCTCGGCTTTACTCTCAAACCCATCCTTTTCTTTCCACCCTTACAGAGCCCATGGTTTAACCCAGGCCTTGAACATCACTCTCCGAAATCCAGTGTCTGTCTACCCAGTCCCTCTGACACATTGTTACAAGCTTATTTTGCTTAAAGTATGTTAATATATTTGTATATTCACTATATATTTATATGTAGTATTTCCTTTTTTAAACAATTTTAAATGCTTGCCATTGCCTATAGGATAGAGTTAAAACCCAGGAAGGACCTGGCCATTCAGGCTGGTCTGTAATCCGGCTCTGGTTTACCTCATTGACCTTGTATCCCGTTCTTCCTCGAGTCGGTTAGAATTTATCAACCTTCCATTCTGCGTTGACGTGACATACGTGTCTGCCAAGCACACAATATACGAAAACTCACTTATTGCATACTTCGCATCGCTTAGAGCCTCTGTAAGTATATTTCATAAACTTACCCCTAAATCATCAGAGGGATCCTGTGAGATATGTGCAACTGGCTTCACGACCTGAGAACACGAGGCACAGAGAGGCGAGGTGACTGGGCCAAGGCTGCCCAACTTGAACGTAGTAGAGCCTGGATCTGGACCACTGCTCTCCATCACCTCTGCTGCTGAGTAGACTTTGTATCCTCACACGCATCCTGGATTTCTGCCTTCCCAACCGTGCCCATGCACTTCTGTCCCACTTGAAGCAGCTTCACTTGCTCTGCAGACATGACTGTTTCTCTTTTGTTGGTACCCGAGCTAGACTCTGTAGCCCAGGAGAAGCCGTGCCGACACCCACACTCTTACTAACTCACAGAGTGCAATGTCTGTACCAACCTTCTAGCATCCAATCCCACACAGCGCTGTGACGCGGTGGGACGTATATATGCACTGTTTCCCCAAACAGATTGTAAGTTCATGGAGGGCCAAGAAAATGTATGCATTGCTGTACGTCATGGACATACCTAAGCCACGGTGTGTATATAGTAGGTGCTCACTCAGTGTTTGAGTGACTTTTGGCCATGTCTCCTCCAGTGGCTCCTTCGCTAGCCACCGAAAGTCTTACTAACAGTATTTTTCTAACATCACCTCCTTTGCCCAGAATGCCTTTCCTCCTCAGAACTGATTCATTTTTGCTTGTCTTCTGGGGATTAGCTTAGGTGTCTCATATCCAAGGAGCCTTCCATGACGTGCATCTCCAGGCTGGCTAGTGTGTCTCTCCTCTGCATTTCCTCAGCACCTTATCTGTCCTTCTGTGTCACAGTGCACTGAAGGGGTTTGCTTCTGCTCCTGTCTTTGCATCTCTAGACTGTGGACTCCTTGAGGATAAACACTGTGTCTTTTAGATGTCTTGCCCCTTAGGGCTAAGCACAACACTGGTATAAGGAAGTGCTCAGTTACTATTGATGAATGAATGAATGTGTGAGTGAATGAATGAAAACAAAGCAATCCTAGTGTGTTTCCAACCACCTGCATGATGAGATGAGCTAAGATGCAGGAGGTATCCATGGAAACAAAAAAAAATGTAAGTAGCCCTATCTCAGCAGTTCTGGGTCAGAATTTTCTTATGAACATGGATTAGCTGAGACCACAGTGCATCCTTGTCAATTCACTTTAATTTTAAATACTGACAACATGGTAGAAGTTGCCACCTGGAAGATGATACTTCTAACCTCCTAGCATCTTAGGCACTGTGCCAGTTTGGTTCTGGTGATTGGGATTGCACCTCTGGTCAAACCGTCTCAGCCCTATGCCATGAATGGGCTACCTTTCAAAGTCATCTCAAGGCAATTTGCCACCTTCAAGCTACACCCTGAGGCAGGATTGAAAGGCCAAGCATTTCACCAACTGCGACTTCGTGAGTTGGACACATTCCAGTTGTTAGTGGAGGGAGACAATTCTAGATGATTCTTCCAAGCATGAGGTGTGATGGTCTCATTTTATATACTTACTGTGCCAACAGCTTGGCCCAGACTACCTTCTCTTCTACTTGGGGACTGTCCATTGTTCTCTAGTGTATGATTAGCAGATTAGCTATCATGTAAGAAGCCAGGAAAATGAACTCCCAGTAAGCCCTTCCAAAGCAAGAGTAATTCATTACCCTGCCTGATTTCCACTTAAAATGTACTTTGAGCACACTTCCAGCTACAAACCCTAAATCACCCTGTGTTCACAAAGTCCATCATTTTTTTTATTTTATTGCATGGCATTTTCGTGACATAATCCCTCGCAGAGCATCTCAGAGTGCTTTACAGATCAATAAATTACTTACCTGCAGAGTCAAAGCGATGTCTGCAAGGCCAGCACAGTCATTCTGCAGGCAGCCTGTCCTCTGGGAAACAGGCAAGGCTGTGTGAGTGCCAAGGGTGGGCAGGATCAGGGCTATTAGGCAAATGTATGGCTTGGGGGTGAGGTGGGGTTCAAGAAGTGCAAGTCCCAGTTAAAGCTCTGCGAATAAAATACATCAAATGTAAATGATTCTAGAACTTAGAGAGCTTACAAATTTGGATCCTTCGGACAGTCAGCAAATCAAGTGTCCAGTCATTAACTCATCAAGTATCTTTCTCTCCTGGAAGGTTCAATCTAGCTTTTAAAATGATACAGCCATGAATCACAATATAATGTCTTAGAAGTCCCGCGTCTTAGAGCCAGCGGTCACTTCCCAGCCCTGGCCACATCAACCGTCCATTGTGTCTGTCCTGCCAAATATCCATGAGAATGCAGGTATGTGTGTGTGCAAGGGCATACACGCACTCGCACACACAGACATCACACCACAGTTGCCTCTCTACCTGAAGCTCCACACGGATTTAAGACTAAAAATGATTAATTGGTGCTTGCTTTATGCAAGGGACCGTATTGGACGCAGCAGAAAATAAAAAGATGAGCAAGATTCTTGTCCAATATCTTATACTATGATAATTTATAGCCAAGGAGAAAGATGAGGCAAGGTAACATAAGCCAGTTTATTTTAATGCCGTGGAGGAGGAGGCTACAGAGTCTCCAAGCAGGAGAGGCCACATCCCCTTGGATGTCACCTGGAAGACCTCATGGAAGGGGTGGCAGATCAACCTTGAATGAGGTTGAATGATTCCAGTAGGTCTAGACAGTTGGAGAAAGAGGCGAAGGAACCAAAACCAGTAGCAAGGGCTTGGGGCTCAGAAACCAAAGTCCAGTGCATTCTTGTTAATGAGCGTTCCTGGTTGGGCACAGTGTGGAAACAGATGGGAAGCCAATTTTCAGGAGAAAGAGGGGAAAGGAGCACAGGCTGAGAGCAGCTATCTGCACGACACCCTCCCTTCTGGAGGAAAAAATCCAACACCGTCAGGAGTGAGTGATGAACGGTTCCAGGAGAGGAAAGACCAGCACGGAATGTTCCAACCAGTCTGATTTTCCTGTGAGGGTGGCCCCGTGACCTTGGTCCCATCCAGGGAATAAGGGCGGTGCTCAGCTTGCCTGGGGTCTCCTGCAGGCCAGATGGCACTGTGTCCTTGGGGATAACGGGTCCTGGAATAGCACACGCGGGTGGCTCAGAGGCATGCTGATTCAAGGAGGCGACCTGACCTGAAGATGCCTAATAGAACCCGACAGAGGGGCCCCTTAACCTGTAAAGAGCTAATGTGCCCAAACCAGTGTGAGTAGAACTGAAATGACTTGTGTTAACGGCCCGGTTCTGAGGTTCTCACAGACATGTAGCCAGGTGGGGAGGTGGCTCCCATGAACAACCATTATAATTCCATCCTATAAATATGTGTTGGGTTTTATACTATGGATATAAATATAAGTAAGATCTGGCTCAAGCCATCAAAAAAGCTCATGGTCTAGGGGGTGAGGGATGCTACGCAAATAACTACAGCACAGTGGGATAAGGGCCAAGAATTGGAGTTTGGGGGGCTGCCCAATAAAAGACCCTTACTTTATAAACCCATTGGCAGACAAGACAAATGAGTAGTCATTTCATGGTCAAGCATCACATTCGCTAGTGGTAAAGATGATACCGGGGAATTGGGCTTAGATGTGCAGCAACAATGAGCTTCCAGCTCTGAGCCCCAGAATGAGACAGATGCACACCCCTGGCTGTGCTCATCCCCGTGGGATGCTGTCCTGTAAAACATAAATGAGTAAGTGCACAACATAATGTAACTTCCTAAGGAAACCCTGGCTCCAAAACGAAAGACTAAACAAAGTTGGGGGATTCTGTCCCCAGATCTACAGTTGGGATGAACCTCTTCATCCTTTGGGGGGATTAATCTAAGACACAAGAGAGAGAAAGAGGCCAAGTCTGTCACGTCTGATTGACTCCCCCTCAGGTGCGTGTAACATATCTGGGTGCAGGATCTTTGAGTTGTGCAGGAGGCCAGAGGGAGTGGTAGGGAAAGCTGCGACAGTGGCATATGATTTGGGTCTAAAAGGATGACTGGGAGTTTCCCAGGAAGGACAGAAGGAAGAATATAGATCCCAAATGCAGGCTGACCAGGAAGGACATGATGAGTTGGGGATGACAACAGGGTAAGTAGAGGTGGAATGTCAGTGGAAACAGAGGTTCGGGCTTGATTCCGAAGGGCCTGGTTTGCTTGGATGAGGGGCTTGCGTGTTTTCAGGTGGGCAGTAGGAATGGTTGGAGGTATTTAGGCAGAGACGCGACATGATCAGAAGTGCATCACATAAAGACGGCCGTGACGTGGTGTGGAGCCGGAGTGGGCGGAGGGTGTGGTTGAGAGTGGAGACCGGAAGAGGGTGGGAGGCTAGAACAGTTCCTGTGGGGCTGCAGTGGAACCATCCCTTTCAGACCCTCTGACATTGCGTGTACCTAGGAAGAAATAGAAACTGAAGTCAAGGTGAGACGTTTCTTTCACGTGTAAGGTGAGTCCTCTGATTCCTCGTCCTCGACTCTGTAGCCCCAATATTGCCATCCCTGGGTTATTCCGCCAACTACCACTTGAAGACAACAAAGAAATGTTTCAGCAGGATTTTAATTTTCCTTCTACCTATATTGTCTCCACAGTATCTCCCAAAATCGTAGAGATTTCTTCTGATATCTCCATCAACGAAGGCAACAATGTCAGCCTCACCTGCATAGCAACGGGTCGACCAGAGCCGACGGTGACTTGGAGACACATCTCCCCCAAAGGTGAGAGAAGCAGTTTGGTGTATCGTGTCGTGAGAGGAAGCGGGAGAACCATTGGCCTTGGCAGGACGTTATGGCGCTGGTGACTTGGTCCCAAGGGTCCCCCATTCTTGGTGGCCTGATAACAAGATGCTCATGGGTCCGCAGAGAATATCGGTGTTCTCAGCGCAAGACAGGCATATGCTCTGAGATTTCAGAAATCACACTGGAGGATGTCTCCAGTCCCTGGGAAATTAATCCCAGTTGTTTCTGGGTGAAGCGGTGGTAAGCTGTTCTGGGCGACTTTCCTGGTCACGTTTGGCGATGGAGGGGTCTGCTCGGTGTTGGTGGCGTTGTTCAGCTGGCTGTTTTGTAAGAGGGAGAAGACACAAACACACGATGATGGATGAGGGTTTGGGATGGCCACATGCCTACAAGGAAAATTTCCACGTCGGTGCTGCTTCAGCAGTGCCAAATATCTGGTCGCTAGGCCATTCGTCCTTTTGTGGTTTTCTTGTTGCTGTACTCTGATTAATCCTAGATAACAAATACAACTTAATGTGTGACTGAATTGCAAAATTCACTTTGTCTAAACGTCTAGGTGTTTTGCAGACCGGGCTAAGTGTTGTTTTGTGCTTTCACGGATTGAACGTTAAACTTTTAGAATTTAAGGCAACATGCCATTTATTATTAAGCTAGCTTTTATGCGAGGTGCATTACATTATTTCATTAGTTCTAAAATGTCTGTCGAGTGTTTACATAGCAATAAACCACAACAGACAAGTCCCTGCTCTCATGAGCTCACATTCTCATGAGATGAGTAACCAAAATAATAATGTTAATAGTATGTGGTAATAAGGATGAGAAAATAGAGCAGGATACATTGACAGAAGGACAAGAGGTTTGGTCAGGAAAGGCCTTTGACAAGGTGACATTTGAGCAGAGACCTGGAAAAGATCCTTAATTTCACTGCTTATATCTGGCTAACGTGGAATATATTTATGTATGTATGTATATGTGTGTGTGTGTGTGTGTGTGTGTGTGTGTGTGTACCTGCATGTATGTATGAAGGTAAGTGCATTGCTGAGTCACGCAGGTTTAAGGAGGCTAACGAAGAGATACACACTGCTATAAAATAGATAAACAACAAGGACCTACTGTATAGCACAGAGAACTGTATTCAATATGTTGTAATAAACTATAATGGAAAAGAATCCAAAAAAGAATATATATATATATATATATATATATATATATATATATAGAACTGAGTCACTTTGTTGTATACCCAAAACTAACACAATATTTTAAATCAACTAGATTTCAATAAAAATAAAGATGCTAAAGTCGCCACCAGCGTGGTTTGCTGGGTGTTTCAGGCTGAGTCCCCCTAAAGCAGACCCTGAGAAGGTGACTGGCAAGTAAGAAGTTTACTGGAGGCGCCCTTGGGATCAAGCCTGTGGAAGGGGAGGGAGGGAGGCGGGGTCAGGCCGAGGGAGAGGTTGAGTTGCCATGATGACCAGGGAAGCATCTCTACTAGCCCTGTGGGGTGTTCTGAAGATAGGATGAATTGTCCTCTATTGAGGTTATGGGGGTGGCCTTTTATGCCAGCACAACAGTCGAGGTCAGGGAATTCGGGCTGTCCCCAGAAGAGCTGTGACCCAGGCCAGGCATCTCTCTTCATATGAGACGGTCCCCATGAGGGGCTGCAGCCGAGGGCTGTCTGTCCACCCCCTGGGGCAGGCATCCTTCGTTCCTGAAGAAGGCAGTGCATCACAGGTCTACTACACCTGGACATTAAAAAAAACATCAGTTGAAGACTGATTGGGCCCAGAAACCAAATTCCCTCTCTCAGGATGACAGTTAGCCCTACGGAGGTTTTCAGAAAAGGGATGAGGTTTTCATTGTGTTTGGCCTGAAATGCTGGGAGCTGTCCCCAGCCACCGCTCCTGACACTACCACCATGAGCAGAGGAATCAGAGAGATGCTGGAATTTCTGCCAATCTCTCGACTGGAAATGACCTTACATGTGGACTGGCCCACAGTCTGGGAGGAGGCTTCACTGTGCTTGAAGTTGTTAGTGATGGAACTTGGGCCTGGGGCACATCCCAGGGTGGGGCATCCAGATGGACAGACTTTCTGGTCCATGGTGCACGCCGTTCATCACTGCTTAATGCCGGGACCTCGGTGCCGCTGGACTCCAGGGCCGTCTGTGCCTTTAGCATACGCTACCATTCATCGTCCCAGGTACACGGACTTTCCTTCTGTCAGGTGGCACCATCCCCTCCATCCTGCAAGTCCCCTCTGTCTCCTGCTTGATGTCTTTTCTCATCCCTCCTCTGGCCCTGCAGCTCTCCGTCCTTTTCCTCTCTGTCCTCTCCTGTCGTCTCTTCCCCTCCCCTCCCCTCTCCTTTTTCCTTCTTTCCCTTCTCCTCTGTACAGCTCCTCTTGCTGTCTTGTCCTTTCATGCTTTCTGTTTTTGTTCTCCGCCTTCCTCTCTCTCACAGCCTCCTACACAGCCTCCTTCTGTTTCATCCCACATTGTCATTTCTTTCTTCTCTCCCTTCTCCTCACAAGCACTTTTGTCTTCCCTCTGCACTGGCACCCTCTCCGTTCCTCTTGCTGAGGTTCTCACCACTGTGCCCTAGCATCCTTCCCTCTCTCCTGGCCATCCAGCCGCCTCATTTCCCCAGGGGACTCGACCTGATGCTTCCATTTTATGGGGGTTTTAGCTGCTATGGAAACAGAAGATGGATCAAGGGGAGAGGAGAAGGATAATCAGAATCCACCTGTGGATCAGAGTAATTTGGACGAGCAGCTTTTCCCAGATCTGTGGTCTGGACTAGCTATAACCCAGATTCAACCTGATGCCACATTCCGCACAGTAGCTGATCACCCCGGGGCTCACGGGGTGCCGCTTCCTTGGTGACTGATTATTTGGAGATCAGAGCTGTCATCGGGCTGCTGCCCAGCCCGAACTGGAGCTGGAGACCCTCAGCAGCCAGGCCTTCATCTTGCCCCGCTAAATATTTCCACAAGGCTGCTTATTTTAAATAACGTAGGGACAAGATGTGGGTTCCTCGGAGAAAAAGATAACGCTACACCTGAGCGAAGGCTCCAGAGGCAGAGAGCTGCTCTCACCCTTGCTCCCACTCTGTGTGGGCAGATCACATTTCAGTCAAGGTCATTCTTATGCTCACACCCATTAACCCCTGATGGAGGGCTGACCCTGGCCAAGCACTTTGGGCAACCTTGATGGCTTCACTGCATGCTCTCTCCAGACTGGTCTGTTTGTTCTGTGCATTTCTGAAAACTCCTAGTTTCCTCTATCACAACTTATATGGGGCTGCAGTAAGCTGATATAAATCTCTTCTTTTTAAAAAAAATTTATGGAGGTAACATTGGTTCATAACACATCGGGTTGGCCAAAAATTTGTTCAGGTTTTCCATAAGATGTTACAGGAAAACCCGAACGAACTTTCTGGCCAACCCAATACAAGTTCCGTGTATTATATTTTGACTTCTGTATGCACTACAGTGAGCTTACCACCAAAAGGCTAGTTTTCCATCCATCACCATACAGTTGACCCCCTGCACCCATTTCACTACCTCCCCTGACCCCACTTCCCCTCTGGTAACCATTACTCTGTTCTCTATATCTATGTGTTTGTTTTTCTTTGGTTTGTTTTGCACATTTATTTTGTTTTGTTTTGTTTTCATATATTCCCCATGTAAGTGAGATCATATGGTATTTGTCTTTCTCTGTCTGACTTATTTCACTTAGCATAAGGTCCCAGCCTTGACTCCTTTTATGTGGAAAAGTAATAGAGCAATGTTAACCACCGTTGTATCAGTAGTGGCTCATCCATCCAGATATACAGAAACTGGGAGTGAGCTTATGGTGGGAGGGGTGTTGGGGGTCTTTCTCAGAAGGTGCCTACCTGGCACTTGGCATCAGGTGGAGAAAATGTCAGTTGTACTTATCCAAGATAGAGAGGGAGGTAAGACCTCCCAAGCTACCTCTTGGCGTTGCTATTGATCGTGAGAAGTGTCTCACCTTTTATTACTGGTTATATGTCTTTTTAGCTCCCTTCATGAACTTATAGCTCCCAGGAGTTCAAGGAGAAGGTGTACTAGCTTTGTAGAGACATCTGCCCTCATGGTGCATACCTGTTTTGAAGGGTACAGGTGTTGCTTGTACCTGCACAGGCCTTGGTCTTTTCAAGAGGAGGAGCCCACGTCGCTTCCTCACACGGGAATGCCGCCTGGAACTGCACGAGTGTTCTAATAGCCCCTCACCGAATCCCACCTGTTAGCCTGCTGCTCCGGCGCTGAAGGACCGTCAGTGGTCCCCAGGGTCCCTTAGACACAACTCTCACTCATGACTCTGCATCTTGTCTTGTCTTTTCCTTGTCTAGGCATGCAAGAATTTATTTTGTCATAGCCCTTAAGCTCGAGTCTTTCTATCCAAAAGAATACCTTTAATGCTCTCTATTCCTCTGGGTCTTCTAACAGATAAACTCTCTCTTTCAGTGTATTCGAAAGATGCTCCTCAGGACTTCACAGTTCATAAAAAAATTATTCTCAGAGGCCAATTTTCATGTCTCCAGTTTCTGTTGGACTGTCAGAGCTTTAGAGAGAAGGCTGAGGTTCCTGTATTTCCACATCCCTGGGAGCCGACCACAAAACCCAGAGGAAGGCCTGAGTCCAGCCACTGCTGCATGGGCTCCACTGTACATATGGGGTAATGGCTCACTCAGTGTCCTGATGGGGCTGCCCTCTCGGGTGCACCTGCCTCACCCTTTATCCCATCAAACAAAACACTGAAAATATCAGTAACAATCTCACCAAGGCTGCTGAGAGAACACCTCCTACCTGGGTATTAGCAGGGGGCTCAGGAGCTTCCAGTGATCTGTCCAAAGAGATGTCCTGATTTCTGATTCATCAGTTCTTTGAGACCAGAGCCTATGTCTCTCTTTTCTTGGGTTCTTCACCTCCTAGCGCAATGCCCAGCACCTAGAAAG